AAATGGGTCCTCTAAAATTGGTGTCAGATTTGATAAATCAATCCCAGAGGGTAATGATCTTGGTGGTCTGTGCGATGAAGATCATGGGTTCTTTTGTGCTGGTAATACTCTACTGCCTCATTTAACTCATGATCCGCTTTTGTTGCCCGGCTCAGTTATGCCGAATAACAGAGCATGTCTTTTCGGTGGCCTGATCTTTTTTTCTTCCACAGCTGACTTGCTCCGCCTTGATAGCTCAAGTACTGATGAAATTGATAAACTTGCTATCAATGAACTCTTTGAGGTATTTGCTAATATACCTCTCGGTGTTACTATTCCATTTCAGAGTCGAGTGTCCTTGCTTTATTTACTATGTTTTATATATATAGGTTGCTTCAAATGAAAGTAAAAGTAGTCCTCTAGTTTTGTTCATCAAAGACATTGAGAAGTCTATGGTGGGAAACCCTGAGGCTTATGCTGCTTTCAAGATTAAGCTCGAACATTTGCCAGAGAATGTTGTTGCCATAGCATCCCTTACCCAGTCGGACAACCGAAAGGAGAAAGTATGCAGTGACGGTTATTTTCACATTCCTTCAGGATAAAGAAATTGGCTTGTGATTCTGATTGCCTTACCTTATGCTTTACAGTCGCATCCTGGTGGCCTGCTATTTACGAAATTTGGAAGTAACCAAACGGCATTGCTTGACCTTGCCTTCCCCGTATGTACAACTTTCTTTCCCATTGCCTTTTCTTTTGGTTTTTCTATTTCTTTTTCTCGGTGTTGTACCTAAGAAATTCGATGGAATGTAAATATCCACGTCTGAGGGGAGATGTTTTAATATGGATTTTCATTTGTTTTATTGATCCTATAACTGACACTATGGATTCCCTAAGTCTTTCCAATTGGTCATTAAGAATTGTATAGTTTGGGAGCATACAATACAGAACAAACTTTTTTCCTCATGATATAATATGTTGTGGTCTAGGGTTTCAAAGGTGGGTGTCAATTGGGTTTTCAGAAAATGGCTATTGGACTTACCCAACCTACCAAAACCCATTTAATTGATTTCCTCATACTTTGTTCTTATACAATGTCCCCAAGGGCCAGCTAATGCGTCGCTCGAAACATGGTGGATGATGGGCTTATCCCTCTACCCTTGTCCACTTAAATACTAGGCTTTTGTCTGCGGTTGGTTTGAACCTGTAACATGCGCCTAACCCACACATCACATGTTGTGTTCTTGTGCTCTTACCCCCGGGGTCCTATTTTTATCCATTTTTCTCATCTTTTAATTTCCCAAACTACTTTTACCCATCCATGTCTCTTATATTTATATGTGTGTGTGTCTGAAAAATAACTTTCTGATGGCAATTTTTTTTTTTTTTGTGTGTGTATGATGTGTACACATTAGTTATCTGAATGTATGCTTGTCGGAAGTAATCTACACAGGCCTTACCCAACCTACCCACGCTCATTTAACCCATATCCTTATTCTTTCTTCTTATACTACACAAATATCTCTATCTTATTCATTTTGTACCATATATACCTTTCCACTCGGAGGCGGATCCAGAATTTGATGGCTGGGTGCCACCAGATTTAATGTAAACTTGTCACTAATCAAAGGGATTAAATTGGGATGTAAATTTGATCGACTCATTTTGTATTAATTCACTTCCTTTCAATTCGATCCATTTTGAAATTACTTCGGTTTTCTTTACAAAAATTTTGATGCATAAATACCTAGATGATAACCATACTAAAATTTTTTTGTTTTTTTTTAATCAAGGAAAAATAAATTAGATGGATAAAAAAGAAAAATAACTAAAATTAAATACAAATAGTTTTTTTGTGATCTAGAAACTAGAAAAAAGCAGATATAACTTTATAATTTAAGAAAATAATAAAAATAGAATTGCACAAAGAGAGTTACAAAGGTGAAAAAAGTAAAAGAAATTAAGAAAAAGACAAGAAAAAGGAAGATAAAAAGGGGTAAGTAGAATTGGAATGCTAAAAGCGTGAAATGAGTGTTGATCACATGTATTTTGGCTGAAAAGCTAGCCCTCAAACCATGGCACCCACAACCACCTTTGTTAATCAGGGTGCCACTCGTTCTTTATCTACGTTCTTTTGCGTGAAATGTTAGTATACACAGGAAATTTTACCCGAGCAACCGGGTGGCGGACCACCCCTTCTTGTCTACACAGATCCGCCCCTGTTTCCACTATTACCAAATCTCATATATTTCAATCACCAAAACTACTACCACCCACCAAAACTAATGTGTATGATGTGTACACATTAGTTATCTGAATGTATGTGTGTCGAAAGTAATCTACACAGGCCTTACCCAACCTACCCACGCTCATTTAACCCATATCCTTATTCTTTCTTCTTATACTACGCAAATATCTCTATCTTATTCATCTTTTTCTAGATATACCTTTCCACTATTACCAAATCTCATATATTTCAATCACCAAAACTACTACCACCCACCAATGGCCACTAGAAAGTTTTCTTTCACCCACGTGCATATATATGTAGATGCATATGTATGATGTGTCATTGCGTATGAGGGAGGGAGTTATAGAAAGAAAATGCTACAGGGAGGGGCATGAAGATGTGGTAAGTGTCTTTTGCTGGGGTGATCTAGGGGTGGGTATTGGTTGGTTCGGTTTGATTGTGAATGTTATCAGTTCGGTATATCGGTTATCAGGTATCGATTATCAATCGTTATCGGTTTACCCGATAAGATAACTCAATTTTAGAGCGAAAGAGCATAGTGTATAACACTAATTGATCTTATAATCTTGACCCCTTTCAATTATATTTTAAAGAGGGAACACAAGTTTCACGAACACATGTCAACCCTCATCAAAAAGTTTGTCCAATTATAAATAGCAAACTTTGCTCAAATATACTTTCATATTCATACTCAAATGAACATCAATGAGATTATGAAATAAAACAGGATGACTTCACCATATTAACTTGCATCTGACCAAGACAATGAATGAAAAACTCATTATTAATCTTCATCAAACGTGTGTTATATTGTTTAAGATAGAAACATTAAATTTACTGATACCGTAAAATGCATTGATCCAACAATTGTAGCAGGAGTAACAATATATTTTGGAAAAGTGGCACATATACTCAGTGGCTTGGAAGCAAGCTACCTTGACCGTCTTCCGAAGTTTTAAATAATTTACTGATCAAAGGCGGTAAGGGCGGATTGCTCTACATTCAGTCACACCACAGCNTATTTTAGTAAAGAAGAGAGGCATTCTGGGCCGACTACTACGACTACATGCCCATCTAGTGCAGTGGCTTGGAAGCAAGCTACCTTGACCATCTTCCGAAGTTATAAATAATTTACTGATCAAAGGCTGTAAGGGCGGACTGCTCTACATTCAGCCACACCACAGTGACCCCGAAGCGATCTTCTTCTAGTTGCGGGACGAAATCCGACAGCCAATTGCTGGCTCTGAATAACCAGAACAACGGTAATCACAAAAGCTGCTTTCGTATAAGGAATTTAAGAGATTTGCTCAATTCCAGTTGTCCAGACACAATAGAAACAACACAAAATAGTAGTAGCAATTACACCTTAAAAATTAAGAAATCCAAATATAGTACTAATAGAGAATGAAACCTTAAGGTGATTTTATATAATTAAGGGTAAAATTATAGTTTTGATATAGCTTATTGGGTTATCGGTTAAACTGTTAATAAAATTGGCCAAACCGAGACCCGAACCGATAATCCAGTAGTCTAATAATATCAAACCGTTATCGAATCATTATTCCAATATCCCAATACCAATAAACCAATTCGGTTCGGGCTATCGGTTTTACCCGATATATGCCCAACCCTAGGGTGGTCGGGGGAAGAGGGTGGCAGGTGTGTTGTACTAACAAGTTGACTAGAACATGTTGCTATAGTTATGTGCCTTCAAATCCCTTAAGCTTCTGCCTTACCACCCACCCCCTAATTCCTAG